GTAGATTGACTTACCTGTGAACTGCACAATGAATGTTATGAATTTAAAATTACTGTTACCGAGTGAGTTTATGTTCACTGACATAATATTGGAACGCAAAGAGTTATTTCATGACTCATAGTCAGGAATCTGTCTCCTCAAAGTGTGCTTTATAATATTTAAATAAGATGCCAGCATCCCATTGAGTCAAAATTCTTTCCATACATGATGAGCACAGATCAAGCTGCTAGAGGTGTGGCTCAGCAGATAAGAAAACACAGATTCTGCACAGATGGTTGTAGATTTTGTTAAATATTTATTGTCATGCTAAGACGTCTTCTAGGTGCTGAAAATTCAGGACTGAACAATGTATTATAAGCAGCTTAAAACCTATGAAATCAATAGACAAGAACAAGTGAAGAATGTCCAAAAAACAGTAAAATAACTTCATGAACTAAAGGTGAGCTTTTCAACAGATACCAGAGGTGACAGAAAATGTGGGGCTGCTATATACTTCTTGTAACTTTCACATTGGGATTTGTATGGTAAGCTTTATTGACAATGATCATTTCTTCCTGGATAGTTGAAACAATGGCACCAATAGACACCCAGAACTCCAGATGACTGGATTGTCATATATCTCATTTTCAGGCTTTCCTCAGATGTGGAAGGATGTGGCCCAGGCATTCAGAATGCAAAACAATTGTGTGTTTCTATAAACATGTAGACAGTTCTAACTAGCCAGTATGCAAAACCATATTATTGTAATCTTACCTTGACCTTCAGTAATGAGTACGTTAGTTCCCACACTCTCATAAAGAAAATATTTGACAATATTCTACAATTATTTTGTTATTCCAGTAACTTAAGTTTCTGGTTCCCAGGCTACTTTTCCAATTTAAAATGTTTTGGGCATTCATGATACTGTTTCCAGGATTCCAATCCATCCCTCGTGTTCTACAAACATTTTCAGATCATGGTGATTTTGCAGTTCAATTTCAGCTAAAAGGTCTTTGGAAGCTATCCATTTGTTGTGTTTGTTTTTTGGTTTTTGGTTTTTTGAGACATGGTTTCTCTGTGGCTTAGGAGGAAATTCTGTAACTAGCTGTTATAGACTAGGCTGGTCTCAAACTCACAGAGATCTGCCTGACTCTGCCTCCTAGGTGCTGGGATTAAAGGTGTGTGCCACCAATGCCTGGCCTGAAGCTAACCATTTTTCAATTTAAATTAGAAACAAGCCTCTTTTACATGTCAATCTCAGTTCCCTCTCCCTCCTCCGCTCCTCCCCTGCCCCCCACCAACCACCCTATCCAAACCCCTTTCTGCTCCCCAGGGAGGGTGAGGCCTTACTTGTGGGATCTTCAAAGTCTGTCATATCATTTGGAGCAGGGCCTATACTCTCTCCAGTGTGTCTAGGCTGAGAGAGTATACCTCTGTGAGGAGAGGGGTCCCAAAGTTCATTTGTGTACTAGGGGTAAATACTGATCCACTACCAGTGGACCCATAGATTGTCCAGACCTCCAAACTGACTTCCTCCTTCAGGGGATCTGGAACAGTCCTGGTTACCCACCTATCAGTCTGGGGTCCATGAGTAACCCCTTGTTCAGGTCAGCTTTTTCTGTGGGTTTCTCCAGCCTGGCCTGACCCCTTTGCTCATCACTCCTTCCTCTCTACAACTGGATTCGAGAGTTCAGCTCAGTGTTTGAAGCTAACCATTTTTTAACCAGATCTATCTTCCCATGTTTCAGTTTTTGCTACCAAGAAAGAATATATACCTTCTAGTTATCTAAGCCAACACTTACGTCACTGGTTTCTTTATCCAGTCATACTCATCTAATCTATGCATATTCTCATGTATGAGTTCATGAACAAGAGAAATTTGTAATCTAGGGCCAAGTGGGACAGCATTAGTCACAGATGCAATGTATCTGGAGACAGTGGGAATTACAGGTGAATTGTATAGTCCCCTTACAGTTCCACATTAGCCATTCCAAGTCACTAAGGTAGAGATGTAATAGATTTATAAGGCACATATAGCACTCATAGCACCTAATATGTACATTAACAAATAAATATTATCTTAATCCTAATTGCAATAATGTTTTATGAAAATGTAGCAAGTATTACATTGTTTTTCAAATATTGCTTAGAAGTGAAGCATTTTCAGGGATTTCTTTGAAAGAAGAAATAAAATTTTAGGATGGTATCACTTCATTATCTGCCTTCCCAAATACCTAGCTGACAAAAATAGCTCCAATAGCTCCAAATGTTCTTATTTAAAAAAATATAGAAAAACTAGTAGGAACATTTTGCCATCTACTTATTTCAGTATTCTCTGTTCCCCCAAAGACAGCTTTATTCCTTAATCTTTGATTTTATGGGAACATTTTTAGGTTTAATCTGTAGTTTTCATGTTGAAGGATCCAATAAAAGGAAGTTTGTAGCCAGCTCAGTTCTTAAGATGAAGTTCTATCAGAAATACCAAACCTTACAGTTTTATACTGGAAAGTGGGAGGGATTTTAAAAATCTGAACTTAACACCAGAGCAGCCAATCGGTTGCTTCTACTAACTTACCACTGTCTAAAAACTATCTGTTCAACAATGAAAAGGAAGGCCAAAACATCAGACTGCAAGAAAATGGCAATGTCATCAGAGTCAGTAAGACTTGGCAAGGTTGGCAAGGTCAGGAAGGGGCCTCACTAGGAGGTCAGTGGGTGGAATTTGACTGAATGCTGAGAGCCAGAAGTTTAATATTTGAAGAAATAAAGGTAAGGGAGGGTCCAAGCAGGACTCCTCAGACTGTGCTGGATCACAGTCTGAAAACTTGGTAAGTGAAGGCAGGTTAGAGGGTGAACATGCCAGGCTAGGCTGGAGTACACATGCCAGCCACACTGAGCCTGAAGGATGGATAAGGTGGGGAATGACAGGATAAGGTCTCAAAGACAGATAACTTGAAATAACAAATTAATAAAATTAAAAGAGGAAACAGCATGACTATGAGAGAACTATGGCTGGAAACGGATAACCATAGAATGTTAATAAGCCAAGTTCAAACATGACCAGGTAGTACTGAGAATTAGGAAGATAATGGTCTTCCTAATTGGTTTCATTACTCAATACCCTTTCAAAATGTCCCATATATTTTTATCACCAATCCTTGAAGTCTCAGCTCTCAATAATAGTACTTCTTTGGATTCCAGGGTGGTCTCTGCACACAATGTCCACCATTTATTGATTTCAGTATTTGTTAATTCCTCTATAAGACACCACAAAGCATAATTCCAGCCTTCAAACTTGAGGATGCGACAATCTCCCAAAATAAAAGACACATGACCAGATAAATATCCCTCCTGCAATATTTCAACTCACATTCTCACTGATAAATTACACAATAACTTTCATATACTAACTGCAAGCATGAGTAATTTCCCTAAGAAGTACATAATCTCCATAAGCTGATTTTCCCAGTGTTAGTGGTTATTCCTCTGGACCTGGTCTGTGTGGACAAATATGACAATCATGGGATATCAGCTACTCAGATGAGGATATGATGAATAGTGCTGCTTGTTGTCAAACAACAGGATGGAATTCAGTCACACTCCTACCTTCAAGTCTCTTCCCTTTGCTTATCTATAGGACCTAGAAAAACTGTTAAACTTCTATCAACCTATTCAGTCATCTACGAGATGAGAACACAATGAATTTTCCTTTCTTGGATTAGGGCAGAAATAGGAAAATTGGGAATATACAATTTCTTAGTACAGTAACAATTAGAAAAGTTCAAGTTCATGGCAAAGCATGGGATATTGTGGTGGATTGTTATACAATAGTTAAACTTAATGGGTAGAGAGTTCTGTGCTATCTTGGATAAACTGATCTATCACCCTTAAACAGAGCAATATTTTACCATGGTTCCTATTAACTCATATCCAAAAACTAAGACAATTAGAATGGGCTATCATTCTTTAAGCACAAAATGGAGATTAAATGAATTTTTAAAGTAATCAATGCACTGGTTTTTATCTCACTCAAACTACTTGAGATAGGGAACATCTCAATTACTTGGATAATTCCTTCTGAAAGAACCAGAAACAGATCAGAATTTTGGACAGTAACCACAGAGAAGGAAAAGAGGGTTTCATTAGATCATTTGGTACTTGTGGAACTGCAGCATCATGCTTGAGGCAGAAGTTCCTGACAGCAAATAGCTTGGCTGGGAAAGTATTGAAAATGTATGACTTCTAAGAGTGCCGACCTTTCATCCTAGGGGTCTAAACCTAAGATTCTTGAAGTGTGAAGCTTGAATATATATAGGATGAAATGGTCACTGGTATTTTCTAGAAATGAAACTGAAAATCTACTCATTCTTGGTGGGTAAGTACTATAAAGATTAAAATTCTTTTCAGCTTTGTATTCATTATTTTCCCATTTTCATTTTAGAGTCTTTGACTCATTCTTAAATGGTAGCTTTTTAGGTCAATTGATTTTAGTTCACTTCTCAAAGCAGGCAGGCAAGGATAAGGTAGTAAGAAATTATTTCAGGAGGTTAAATCTGGATGTTTGGATCCCAAATAAAATTTTCTATAGCATTCATACTGAAAAGGTGCTATTTAAGCTTAAGCTATCCTGAACAAGCATTCATAGGAAGAGCCAGGATAAGTACTTATTGATTTCATAAGTTCTAAAATCATCTTTTTTCCCAGAGGAAGGTAAAGCATCCTTTACCTTCTAGAAGCCAAACATCTAGAAACCAAACAACCAAGTGGCAGGATTGCTAGCCAAACACTTCTCTGCCAAGTAAGGCAGTGGTGCACATTAACTCATTATTCACAGAGACCTGAGCAGTGCTTCTTCTTGACTTGGTTATATAGGTTGCCTTCTTTTGTGGGCAGAATGATCATACATGTGGTGAATGGAACTAAAGTCAATATAAACACTGATGTCTTGTCTTCTGACAGCATATGAATGTGCAAGCATTAAGTTATAGGAGAAAAGGGGCTAATTTGAAATTTGTTCCTAGCCCTCTCCATGTGAATGGTGTCGCTGTGAGCCCAGCAATGAAGTTCACTGTGTTGTAGCAGACTGCGCAGTTCCTGAATGTGTCAACCCAATCTATGAACCAGAACAATGTTGTCCTGTCTGCAAAAATGGTAAGAATGCCCTGCATTAGCTTTCAAGAAGGGGTTAGGACAAGACACCAGTATTTCACACCTGCATGACATTCAGTGCAAGAGCCCTCTAAGATCTACCCCTGGCTTTTCAATATGGGCAGCGCTGGCATGTATGTTTTTCTGAAGGCTTAAAGTGAAATGTACTAGGGATGGGTGAATTGAGTAGCTTCTCATCTGGGGAATTAGAGCTCTTGCAAGCTGGCTTTGTTGTGACCCATGTTATTTATTGTTGATTTATAAAGAGACTATTGGAGAGAACACAGTCCCATTTTTTTGTAGTGATTGAATTTCTCTCTATTTTGGAGTCTGTGAAGCAGACTCCAAATTCCATGGTGTATAGTGTATCCTAAGACAGAGATTGGAGCAAATGTCAGGTATTTTGGTTTGGAGGTAAATAAGGCTTCAAGTTTAAAGTTGTCCAAAGAATATAAATTCAATTATAAGTGTACTTAAGCTCAAGCAAAAAGTGATGTGTGTGGAAGGGCAGGAAGGTAACCAATATTTTCATTAGAGAAGAGCCCTATTCTTACAGAAATTGCTACAGATGAGAAATTGCCAGGTATACAAGATTATGGGTTAATTTCTTTTCCCCTTATGAAATGGAATAGTTGAGAAAATTATGTATGTTAGTCATCTGAAATCGAGATAGTGCCACAGAGAAGACATTGCAAAGCAATGATCCCCCAAGACACTATCAGTAAGTATCATACAATCACAAACTTCCTAGTTAGTGGTTATATTCTGTCAAAGGAGAGAAAATACTTCACTAGCTAACAATCCACAAATGCCCCATTGGCATTCTCATGTGCTTGGAGTGGAGGGTAGTTGTAGCCCTTGTCACCAGTCACTAAAATGCTTAATTGATGTGCCCTTTGATGAGGTATCAGTGGCTATCTCAATAGCTATATATATATATATATATATATATATATATATATATATAGTTTGCTCTGAACTTACATTGTCTCACATAGTAATCTTTTCCTTGACAGATGGATAATTAGTGTAAAAATAGCATCGTTATTTAAAGATGAAACAAAAGTGACTCTTACTGTTTTAAAAATAAATTTTGTGGTTTGGTATCTCCCCAAAGCATTAATCATGACCCCTTCTGATTTTTTCTGGCCATAGGCTTTCCTGTTTCTTATCTTATAAGTCCATTACATTAAGTTATTAAATTGCTCATTTGGCTTCTCTTTTTCTTCTTATCTAACTGACTTATGGTAGCCATCTCTGATTCAGGAGCTAGAAATAAATACACCCCAGAAGTTCTAATGTGTCTTATATATGCAAAGATACACGATTTAAAACTTCATATTTCTAAAAAGGCTTAAAGAAACTGGAGAGGATACAAGAAAGAACAGTAAGATGATTTAATGGCTGAAAAAAATAGGACCTGGGAGGATAGACTGAAGGAGTTAGCATAATTTGTCCAGAAGAGAAGGCTCAGGAGAGAAGTAACTGTCATGATGTATATGAATGGTTAGTCTAAAGTAGAAGAAGACTTGTTATTTTTCATTTTCTCCAAGGATAAAAAGAAGGAAAGCTCAGCTACCTAATCAATCATCAAAAATGGGATTGACAAGTCTTTAACTGGAGACCTTTTTTAGGGGGTTGGTGTAAGTAACCACCTAAAAAGGTCCTTGAAAATATTGTCTTCCCTGGGTGGCCCTTGTTAGTTTTGCCCTGCTTTCAGAGTAAGTGTTTACAGTTAAAAACTTGTCTGTCCACACTCAGCTGAATTTAGAGAATCATGTCCATGTGTTTAGGATGCAGCATTAAAGCACGCATCTAATAAATCACTCCAGATACCCAACACAAGCTTATACCATATCTAGACTTCATGTCTAGTCAAATGTTAAGACAGCCACTTCAAACTAGCCATATTTAATATGTCACTACTCAAGATTAGCTTTAGTTTATCATATATTACAAATTCGTCTTCAAATAAAACTCTTTGTGCATGTGTGATAAAGGAAGCTTTGAGTACCTATTTGTATAACCGATGAGTTCATGCTAAGTGCACAGTGTGTTAATTAAGTTTTCTGATGTTGTGTTCATAACACTGCATACAAAGACCACTTGTGCTTCCTCCTGCTACTTCCAAAGAAGTTAATTTTTTTTAAATAATAAGGGAACTGAATCTGGATTTAAATAAGTAGGAAGACTAACAGTTGTAATAATATACTATTAAGCGATGTTTTTGTTACTAAATGTCAATGATTTGACAATTGTCTCAAAACATAAGGTATGATCACCGCCAAAGGACATTGTTCAAAAGGATTAGAAACCCCTAAGACCTATATTTTAGTAATGAAGCAAACTGAGCCCACACTTGAGTTACTGATTTTCTAAGCATAGTTATGGAAATAGATACAAAAGAAAAAGACACATATGTAGAAGAGCTGGAGGGAAAGTAAATATGACAGACTATAAGTAGTTCCAGCACAGTGTAAGCTGATCTCATTATATTAGATGATATATTTGTCAATTGTAGTAAAAACTATTACATAAAAGTATGCCTACTGTCTTCTTAGATTAAAGTAAAAGCACATGTTAAAAATACACACTATGGATTTCAAGTAGAAGCAATAGATTCTAATTTATATGTGGTCCTTTAACATTTTATACATTTTCTTCAATCTTTATAAATGTTGATGACTTTGGAAGACACTTTTTTTTTTTTTGGTTTACATAAAGGCTTGGCTATCAAGTCCTTCCCCTTTTGTGTAACAAGATTGATTTTTCTGACGTCCTGAGTTAGAACTTGCCCAAAGCAAGATGCATTGAAGATAGAAACTAAATGTTTAAACTGATAGAATCTAACATATTTAACCTTAAAACTTAGTGTCAGGTAATATAAAAGCCCTTGCTTTAAGTTTATTCATGAGCTGACAAAGCAAAAAAAAGAAAGATAATACATTGGTAATTGAGAAAGTACAGTCACCAAGAACAGTCACCAATGAGAACTGTAACAATTATTACAGAAGTGAATGTTCTTAATTTTATAAAAGGCAATTTAATTTCTTCCTGAGTTAACAATGATACACTTTCCTTTTTTTCAATATAATTTGTAAGTATCAATTTGGTAGCATGACACTTCTAAAACTTGTCTCTAATTATGTTAAGAATAAAGGAGAATTTTAAATTTCTTCATCTTGATGATTACCTCAAGCAAGATGTCTAGTGATTCTAAATAAATACAAACAAGCCATAAAAAGACTTCATTCTTACTCACTTTGGTTCAGCACTAAGAAAAACTGTGGGTGTTATCAGAGTAAGAAAACATTAGGGAAAGATATGACTGCCCAAGCAGGGCATGTATAATAATCATATTAGAGGAAAGAGAGGTGTAAACTTTTTACTTGGGATATAGGCACAGGAATCCACTGTTTCTTCAACAGCTGCTTCTCTTTCCTCTGCAGACATGAGAGAGCTGGTGACCCAAATGCCCTCTTGAAAAAAAAAAACAGGACATTCTCAAACTCTGCCACAATATTTTCACAATATTATATAACTTTGACTTATCTTTTAGCCACAGGCCTTTCCATGCTAATTAATGAGTACCTTTTTCAGGGGGTAATTACTTAGTTGTTCTAATAATATGCAAATATAAATTAGTATTGGATAGTATTTGCTAACAAAATTGTTTCAGTTTAGGGTGTAATATAAATATTATAATAGTTGTAAACTTATCATGATATGCATAGTTGGTAACCAATAATGTATATTTTAATGTGAATTAGCATTCATGGCAATTTACTATTCTTAACCATTCATGCAACTTTTGAGTTTTCCATATTCATCTTAATGCTTTTGTTGTAAGTCATTGGAAACCATGTTTATAGATGCCAAATGTATATCTTTGCAAATAGTGTGAGTAGTTATTAAATATTTGCTAACTAAAACAACAAAAACATTAAGTTCATTTTTATAGACTTTGTTTCCATTGGTATATAGTCGGTCATTACTTATGCCTCTGAAGGACAAGTTACCTCATGAAATCTGGGAGATTCTGGATCCTCCCCCTATCCTCCACACATGGGACTATTGTCAGTCATTATTTATGCCTCTAAAAGAGAAGTTATCTCATGAAATATGGGAGAGCCAGAACCCTTCCCTAACCCTCTATACATATCAAGTGAGTAGTTCCATTTCTCTTCTAACTAAGCTAAATTTAACACAAGCCCTACTCAAATAGATAGCTCCACACTCCTTACTCTCTTCTAGTTTAATGGTCATGAAAGTCAGGCAAGCAGTAGGCTAGCCAGAAGGGCAAAGAGAAAAGAAAAATATTTAGTATCTAACACATTCTAAAGATTATGATGAACAATTGCTAATAGCTCTAATATATACACAGTGTTCCTTGAAATGAATAAGAAAGAAATAAAAATCAACTCCATGAGGTAAGAAACGAGCAAGTAATTAATAAAGAAATTGTCAGAAAACCTTGTGTAATAAATTGGAAAATAAACTTAACCAAAAGGAATCAAAAATTACAGGAATGAGATACCAATTTTGTATTGATAATATTCTAATATTGGCAACACTTCTTATTGACAAAGATTGGCAGAAAAAAATTGAGAAATGTTGGACAACTTTTAAGAAAGCATTTTCTATGAAAGTTTTCATGTTACTTAGAGTTAACTATTGTACAATATGTACTTTATTCCACATTCATGCACAGAATTTTCACTGCATTTTTTAGTGAGAAGGTAGCACAAAACCTTATTGTTTTCAGTGGGGTAGTGAAATATGTCACAGACAGTCTTTAAACATACACTACTGATATTTTCCAGTGCCAAATAAAATAATAGATTGCAGCAATGCATACTATATCTATTATGTTTCTCGTGTGATGTACTTAATACATTTGAACTGAGGTATGTATACTACATATACATTAAACTGGATGGGACTAGAAAAACACCTAATATTAGTTATATAGTGGAATAGTTATGGGGAGAGCTAACGAGATG